CCCCCCCCCCCCCCTTCCCCCCCCACGCGTGCCTTCACTGGTGGGATTCCCTCGCACCAGTTCAAGGCGATGAGGATGGACAACGCCTGTATTGTAGCGGACGGGGAGGGGGGCGTGCTGGGTTTCACAGCCGCGAGGGCGTTACGATTCCGGGGGTGTTTCGTCTCGTACGCCGACCTGTCGGGAGGTGGAGTCAGGTACGGGACAGGTGTGCGTCGACGGAAGGTCCTTGACGAATTGTTTTTGGTCCCCTTGCCGAGTGCTTGATGCGTGCTGCAATGTCACGAACTTGGTCAGATAAAGATGAGTTTCGTTCGCTTTGAAAGGGGCAGAGTGTAGCCGAACAACGTGAACTACGGAAGTCTGATGTGATAGAGAGCGGCTTCCTCAAATATGTTTCATCCTGTCCGAAATCGATTCCGGTTCGTCCGTTCGATACAGTGCTCACGTTTGTCTGTCGGACCACAAGCGAAGGTCATTATGTTGCTCGAAACACCCAAACCAACAACTGTCTCCGAAGGGGAGACAGAAGATAATACCGTCGATGAGTGAACTTGTCCGCGCCACCCTTGGTACACGGCCAATCCCGCCCGTTTTCCGACCCAAAGTTTAACTATATAATATGTCCCCCCCCCTCCCCCCTACCCTCCTGCAACATTGAAAAATACTCACCTCACCCCTTCCCCCCGGTCATGCACCCGCTCGAACTGTAAAACAACCCCCGCAAAAAAAAAACAGCCTTCCCGTGGCTGGCCAGATCTTTTCAGACACCAAGTGCAGGGGCTTCTCTCTTCGGAGGTGGGCGTCGGCACGGCCGCCGTCGGAGAAGAGAGACCTCGTGGAGCGGTCGCTGGGGGTGGCGGCCTCGGCGGGGCTGCGGCTCGAAGGGGCGAGGGATTTCCCATTGAGGGAGGCGGCGCTGGCGATCGACGCCGTGCGGCAAACGGGATGTCCCGTGTTGCTTCGCGGTCCTCCCTAGTGTTTTTTTCTTTTTCATCCTTGCTCACGTGAGCATTTGTGCCGGATGGGAGCTATCTTTAATCCGTGGTCACACAGGAGGGTTGTCCCTCCCCCTGAGGCCCTCCTATCCAAGTGCACGCCTTCAATTATTAACCTTTCGTATCGGACAAAAAGAAGCTGTCAAGCCGCCCATTGTACAAAAGACGATGGTTGTACGTGGCGGGTATACCACAGTAGGTGAACGGCGGCTTGCAGTGAACGAGGTTGTAAGATCGGGGGGTTTCTGGTTGGTATTTTCCGAGGAAGGGACGCAAATCACGCTTTGCATGGAGTCCGTGTGAGATAGATGGCATTCATACGCTCGTCTTCCGGGCATGTCGTTGTATTCCGGTGGTCGAAACTCGACGCTGCAGTCATAGGAGGCTTTCTTCGATGCAACGTACGCCGACTACAGGAGTGAGGTTTGTCATTATGAGCGATACGAGTCGGGTGATGATAGAGTCGGGTTATGCACCATTTTGCGGTGGCGAGGGGGGGGGGGGGG